TTTTTTTCCTGCCTGAAGCTAGATGTTTGGGAAGCATCTCAGGCTCAGTCATTGTAAGGTCTTCTAAAACCTTTTAACTACAAAAATGTTAGATGTTTAAGAAAAGTATTTTAGGGTTGTGTCATAAATTAGTTTGGGACTTATTGCAACAACCTCATTAAAAAGCTTCTATTAAATATACAAGAATAAAAAAAAAAAAAAAACCAACAAAGTTTAAGTAAGTAAAACTTTCATTTCCATTCTCTGCTGGTTTTTCCATTGAGCTGCATGAACTCTTTTACAGAAGGAGAAATTCCCCTGGTTGTCTTAGATGGCATTACTGGCACTTAACTGTTTGGGGCTGCATGGAGAATTGTTAACAATACTCTGCTTGGGCAACCTGGACTTACTTGTGCTTGAGGACAAATTCACGTCTCTCAAAACTTTTTCAATGGAATAGAAAAAAAACTTTTCTAGTTTGTTTGCATGCTTGCTGGCTGCTGTGAGATTAAGTATAACCCAAGTTCCCATAAGCTGCTCCAGAGTGTTATAAACTTTTGCTTGTGGTGATTAGCTTAATCCACATTTTTTGTTATGTTTCAGAAATGTGGATACCTAACCTGAGGATGGACTTGAGGTAGATGATGATAGGAAATAACAAGAGAGGAAAAATTGCACGGAGAAGAAAATTATGAATAGGGGTGATGCCAAGTATTTGATTTGATCTCTGTACTTAATGATACTTAATGTAGATTATAATGTTGCATATTCATCTGCTTTCATTTTGGGGCTAGAGAAAGCTGGGACTGTGCTGGAATATAATCCAGGAAATCTAATCATTTTAGGAACTGTGACAAAAAAACTTTTTTCCTCTCCTTTAAGTCACAAATATCTAAACTCAAGCAGGAGATGTTTGTGTCACGAGAAGAACATGTGGAGATCAGCCAACTGGCCTGTGTCAAAACCACAGAAAGAAATACAGCAGTAATTAAAGCTCAATCAGCGAATATGGGCTTCATGACAGTGTCGTAATGGAGATATCTGGCCAGGAGTTAGGCTTTTATAGTCAAGTACTCTGCAAGAACAGAGTTTACTGAGGTTGACACAGGTCTAGTTCTATCATAGCATTTTGGACTAAGAAGCAGTAGTTCTTATGAGGGGCTCTGGTAAGATGACATCAAGGCACTGTAAGAGTGAAATTGAGACGCTTAATATGAATTGACAAAACACTTCAGAGTGGAGAGAAACTGCTTATTTTGGAGAATAATTAAAAAAATAAAAATAATGAATTAGATAGGGTAAACACTCTTGTTCTGTTATCTGTAAGGAGCATTCAGTAAACGTATTAAAAATAAACATTCCTTGTAAAAGAGATTTTTAAACAAAACACAAAGTTGTGGGTTTTATTCACCATTAGTTGTCTTTGAGGCCAGGAACTTGCCATAGTTAAAAGCTCTCTGGGACATCTGTGTAGATATCTAGCTTATCCAGAGCTGAGAAGATATATTTAGGAAAACTGTGACCTTCAGTTTTGCAAATTGAACTCGTTACTACCAATGCTTAAAATGAGAGATATTATCTTGTTGCTGCCAGTTAACCAGACCTACCTGATTGTTTATTTATATTCATATTGGGCTGTTGGATTATATCCAGGAACTGAAGTTCTTATTCTCCAAACCACATCTTGTGTTTGGAACCGTGTTTATTCCAGATACAGAATCATTTTGAGGAAAAAGACTTGTTCTGAAGGATGCATTGACTGTATGTTTCTGTGTGCGAGGAGTTCACCTGAAATCAGCACCAGTGGCTGGCGGGATATGTAGGCAGGAAGGAAAAATCCATCCTGTGCTTCCTACATCAGCCTCTAAATTTTTGAGGTCAGAGGAACCTTTTGTTGTGGCTAGGCTATTTTAGAGTCGGCTTTGCAGAATTTTTTGTGTGTTCTTGCTCTCGGTCAGAGGATACTGAACAGCGTATCTTGCTGACTGTGATCCAATATATCATCTGTGTTTGTTTAAACTGATAATTATTCCAAATCAGGGGAGAGGAAGGGAATAAGGATTTTGGTAGTTTATGTGCATTTAAAGTGAGGCAAAAAGTATGTTAAGATTGCTATGGAAAATGAGTCACTTCTAGCAATGGAGCCTAGTACTGTGACGAGCAGGGTCATTTTGCAATAGGGTGGAATTCACAGAAAAGTAAGGAAAGCCTTGAATATGATGGCTGAAATGGGTTAGTACGAAGCTGCTGAAAACTCATACTAAGATTTTATTCCCATTTTAAAAAATTAACAAAAAACCCCACCCTGCTCAATAGAATGTGTAGTAACTTTAGGCCTTGAAGCTATCATTTTTAAAATATAAAGTATTTTGTATCAGTAAAGAGAACTTAAACTGTTCCCTGTCTGCAGTATTTGTGCTGAGTTCATTCAGAGAGCAAGTGATCATTTGATCAAGCTCAAACTTTTTTGTATGCACTTCCCATAAAATTGCATAGGTATTGAGCGCCTGTTAGTACTCAGCTGAGTAGGTAAGGTTTGTTTAAAATACAAGTTTGTTTTTCTATTTGAGACCTCTGTATTGAGGTCATCATTACTGTGGAATCTGAACATCTCACCATATTTCTGTACTTTGGTTGCTGTTATACATACACATGCCAGAAACTGAAATGTTCCAGTTAGATTGGAGTTTATGAATGGAAAAGCCTGAAATAATACATTTTAACTTCTAATATTTAAAAAAAAAAAAGATACTAAGAAAAGAAAAGTGTGAATATTTGATTTATAGATGGGTTGAATTTATTCTGTAGCTAAGCTTGCTCACTGAGCAAAGATATATTTTCCCAGAAATTCAAAAAGATATGGTGTCTGGCTAATATTACAAAAGTCATGTGAAAATGTTCATAAATACCCCTTAGCTTAATTTTTCTAAGTTTATGGATGTTTTAGAGCACATGTGATTTTTGTAGCACACGCAATGAAAATAATTATGAAGCTGGTTTTGTTGTAAATGGTACCCAGTCATTCTCAATTTTAATATCAGACATGGGATCTGTTTTCAGTTTTGGGCAGGTTGCTGTTGAAGAGCTGGCTTAGCCCCACCCAGCTTTGGCTTTAGGCTTGAAAAATAGAGTCAGCAATATCTGTCAGTAACGAACTTAGTGGTTGCATCTACATGTGAAGCGTGTTACTGAAAGCTATGTATCTGTAAGTAATTTCCTTAAGAGATCCTAAAGAGGTAGATGAAAATCTTCCCGGTGAAGATGTTGGTGTGTCTCTTCAGATTCAGAGATGTCTGAGGCGCCGGCTGCAGAGCGCACACTGTCAAGGAGTGCCCTGGCTGCTTCAGGGTACATCAGGCTTGTTCTCCTGCCTGGTAATCTGAGGAGCAGGAGATGTGGAAAGGAAAGCAGCCACACCACAGCCACAAAAGGAGAGCTCTGCTCCTTGTAACGCTGGCCCACGATGAGTTTTCCTACAGTGTGCTATTAACTTATTGTCAGGAATACCTTTAGTATCATCTAATCCAGAACAGATGATGTATTCTGAAGATAAGCAAGCAAATGTTTATGGCCCACTTCACAGCTGAAAAAGCTGGAAACTAGATCTGTTACGTTATTCATAAGGCTGCTACTATTACTTACTCCTTATGCTTTCTAGTATCCTTGTTGAATATAGTCCTGTGGCCTTGTATCATGCAAGAAGAAAAGACCTTTCTTAAAGGTCTTTTCCAACCTAAACAATTCTATGATTCTATGGAAGTGGTTGAGTCCCCATCCCTGGAGGTATTTAAAAGAAGGATAGATGAGGTGCTTAGGGACATGGTTTAGTGGTGGGATGGCAGGGTTAGGTTAACAGTTGGACTTGATGATCTTAAAGGTCTTTCCGACCTAGACGATTCTATGATTTAAAAGATGGGTAGACAAGGTGCTTAGGGACATGGTTTAGTAGTGGACTTGGCAGTGTTAGGTTAACAGTTGGACTTGATGATCTTAAAGCTCTTTTCCAACCTAACCAATTATATGATTCTATAAGTGCATTGTTTGCTCCTATTTTGGAACACAGGGTTCTGTTTCCCTTTTTAGGGTTTTAAAGCCGATTTCGTAAGTGGTGCTTCCCTGAGTAAGAAGCTGTGGTTTCTGCATTGTCCATTTTGATGGCTACAGGCAGGTTCTGGGACTTGCTATTGCAGAGGACTTGCATACGGAGGATTCTAATTAAAGTACTCCAGGGGCATTTTTGCTAAATACGGAATATCTTACATTGCCTGTAGGTGCAAGATTTTAAGCCAACTAAATTGCCCTGACAGAAGATTGCTACATAGGAGGCGTTTTATCCCACTAAAGAATTTTAAGTGGTGCATCACAGATGTGGTCTGGCTAGAGGAGCTGATCTTGTGCAGGTGAAAGGGAGTATGTAGCTTCAGCATTAGCAAGCATTGTGGTGCTAATCTGAGTGAAAAATGGCTGAAATATGTACCTTTGCCCAAAGTAGTGCCTTCTCACTATTCTGCTCTTAAGCACTTGAATCTATCTCAGAACCAATCTTTTCTTTTCCCTCCATCTTTAATTCTTCCTTTCTAAAAAAAAAAAAAAAAATTCAGTAGAAAAATGCATTTAGATTGCATCAAGGGTATGTGTAACAATCTGAATTGATGCTGAATAAGCTAATTAAAATATTTTGTTTCCTAATATTGAGTGGTTTACTTTGCAAGCAATAACTTCTATAGCGAAGAGAAATAGAAAAACTTATCATGTGATAGCATGACATCGCACATCTCCCTGCCTTCTCTGAAGACTGCAAATTTTCTTTCCTTTGTTCTTTCTCTGTGTCTCACAGATTCTTGAACATTGAGGGTTTTTAGAGGAAGCTTGGGATTAGCAGCAGCAAATGTTGTTTTAGTTAGGGCATTCTCCTTAAAGAAGGGGCAGTGGACTCAAACTGCCTCAGGTAGAGGAAGGCTTTGAGCCACTGCCTCAAGGACTCTGAGATGCAACAGCCACTATCTCTTGCTTCCTTCCAGCTGATGCCTATCTGCAAAAGAGAGTCCTTTGCCAATACTTTCTTTGGCTGGATCAAGGTGGTTTCCTGATCAGGAACACTGAGGCACCTTAGAGATGATAGAGAATCAGACCTCTTCTTAAACTCTTCACTTTGGAGCTGCTTCACTCTTCTGACTTCACATGGTATGATTTATTAGCCTGGGTGAGGTACCACTTTAAGTGTTGCAGCCTTCAAGTTAGCGTCTAAATTAAATTATCTGAAATGTCTCAAAAATGTCTTAGTACACAACACTGTAAGCATAGTTATCTGCCTTCTGGAGATGGAATATTGTTAAGTTTTACCAAAAAGCTTTATAATCTGTGCTTCTCACTTGCCACTAGTGACTTTTGGGAGTTATAGTGCCTTCTGTATTCATGGATTTCCACAAGGAAAGCTAAGAAAAATCATTTAATCCTGGAACAACCACTCTGACAGGAGATGACTTAATTCGTTTTGAGGCTTTGTTTTTGTAAATGCCAAACCAGTATTTATTATTTGCACATCACTTCAGTAATACAAAAATACTCTGATTTTAAGTAAATAGTTACTATGTGCACACATAAAAACTTCCTATGAAGCATGTATTGCTATGCTTTTATTTTTCTGATATTTCCACTTCATCTTCTATTACTTTGCAACGAAGTGGAAGAAACCATCCTTAGGTCATATGATAGCTAACATGTAGCTCGGTTCTATCACGATTTTAAAAGGGGAAAAAAAAAAGTCAGTGAGGTGACTGGAAAATATTAACTTCTTGGTTTTGAGGAAATCCTGTTTGGTTTTGGTTTTTTTTTTTTACTGCATTACTGAATATTGTAAAATAGGTATTGACAGTAATGATAGGTATTGACAGTAATGATATTATCAGGTCTGGACCCTGTGCACTACAGATGAGCAGAGTTATTTGCCCTAATTTATAGGCCTGGTCCAATGACATAGAATGGCATTAATCTTCTTTGTAATTAAGTCATTTAAATCTTACACCATTCATTTAAATATATGTTGTGTTTGCAGCTTGTCCACTTTTATAGAGGCATTTTGTCAGTCTAAAAAGACTTTCTGCTATCATCGAACGTGGGGTGGGGAAGAGGAGGACAGCATCATTTGGTGTGTCAACATGCGTACAGAATAAGCTACAACTCTTAAGGCTATGAACAGTAATGGAAGGAAAAATGTTGTGTAAATCTATTATATCTATAAACCAGGTGGATGAAATTTTCATGATAGCTAGCAAATCGTCCCGAACCCAGATCACAGTGGTAATGGTGGATACGAATTAGACAGCTGTTGAGAAAACAAGAATGTTTTCCGGTCATTTTTTTTAGTGTATTTACTGTTGACAACTTTTTGCTACATAAAGCCATCTATAGGGGAGAGAGTCTGTATGTGATTCAAAACGGGGAAGCTACTGAAAACATGAGAGTTGAGGAAAGTTTGGGTAAATGTAACTTAAGTGAGAGTTTATGGTCCCTAGTGACAAAAGGAGGGAAGAATGCTTGAGGAAAAACAATGGATTTTGTGAAAGAAGGCTACAGTAAATTCGGAATTGGTAGATAAGATCTCTTTAGTCAAGCCTCAAGGGGAAAAGGAATTAAGGAGAAGTGATGCTTTGTCAGAGATAATACTAAAGCACAAACAATGCTAATGCAGAGGTTTAGGCTTTAATTAAACTGTAAATTCTTCATTGACCTCTGAGACTTTCTCAGTTTGTTGAGGAACAGAATAAAAGTTTTGTATGAGAAAGGGACAAAGTAGGGCAGGGAGCAGGCAGGGGATGGGGACACCCAGATCAACTGTGTTTCATTTTTAAGCAAGAGGCATCAAGTTAGTACGCACATGCACACACAGCCGAAAATGTTCAAATGTTCTGTCACACAGTAAAAGAAGAGCCAAAGAAAGTGTTCATCTTTTATAAGCCTTTCCTCCAATGATGAGAAAATGATACTGAGGTTCTAAAGCTTTTAATCTATTTTTATGTGCAAGTTTTTGCTAAGAGTCAGCTGTGCATAGGTGGCTAGCACAGTGCTGATGCCGAAACGGTATTCTACCATCTGTGTATGCAAATTAGTTGTTTTTGAAAATTAAATAATATTATGAAATGTAATTTTTCACCAAATCTGTGGCCAATTTATGGAATATCATAGATTTTAATTTGAAAGTGTTAAGTACATGTAATTGGGAGTTACTTAATATTAAAAATATTTACATCTTCCCTAATTTCTCAGTGTAAAACCTTGGTTCCTGAGATCTTTTCTTTTGGAGTTTGTGCTCTTGATGATCTGACTGGTAATGGTTCAGCCCAGTAAATATATGCTTTGGTTGGAAGTACCAGAAGTTTATTTTTAAATTACGCGCTGCATTCTTCTGACCTGTCTGCAATAAAACCAGAAAGTAGCAATTGTTTATGCTCAATTTAGGGTAATAATGTGTATACTATGCCATATGGACAATCAAGCTTTATATATTTAATGAAGAATTTGTACAGAATATGGTACCATATGTAACATGTAACTAATATATAATGTTCTATTTTAGGCAAACATAACTGGTTCTGCAGGAAGAATGATTACTGCTTTTTCAGGGATGACTCTTCCTAGGCTAATTTAGCCTGTGCTGGCATAGATACCCGGTTATAATACAAGCTTCTTCAGGCAGCTGTCAAATCATTTTGGTTATCAAACAAATAAGATTTTATCTATGTTATAAAATGGGAATTATGGGGGACCTGAAAGAGCCAGTAATGGCACCTTCACTTCTAGATTCTGCTCTCTTCCGTTCCACTCTTGGGCAGCACGGTGGTTTGTTCTGTCCTATAGACAGCTGAGGGAGGGGAATACAAAAAAATGCCAGTTAGAGAAGGCAGTGATATTTCTAAGCACTGCATGTGGATTTCACTGTGGTAGGTCCATGAGAGAATGCAAGAGTATGGTATAAAAACAGGCAAAGGTCACTGCCTACTTTTTTTTCACCCTAACCATTATTTGGAGCATATTTCAGATGCTCTTCTCATCTCAAGGCTCTGAAATAAATTTTCATTTTTTGGTTTTTTTTAGTTCATTTCATGACAGTTATGTCAGTTGCTTTAGCTGGTTCCCATCATTTGAATCAAAGGATCAAAGTCCTTGCATCCTCCGGGACAAGTATAAATAAAAAGAATTGAAATATTCTTAGAAAATATTCTTGTCATACTGGGAATCATTTGCTAACTTAGCTTTTCCAAGAGATGAAACTAAGTGAGGAAAAAGCTGGTGCCAGCTCAGCCTTCTGAGTAACTCTGAAATATTGCTAGAGACTTCAGTAAATTATTCTTAGCAAAACAAAATTACTTCAGGAATATGACAGATACGTGTGACATATTACACATAGTCCAGCTCTTTTGGGAGATCACGGTATTATGCATACAACTTTATTAGTACTTTTTAGGAAGCTCAACATTTTAAGCATGATCTGTATAAAATTCATACAGCTTTTAGCTGGGTGAGATGGATATGCTTGTAACTGTGTTGGCATCAAGGTGTGAGCTGTAGGGA